CGCAAATGGCTACCATATTGAAAAATATACTATTTTTGTATGATAATTATGGGTTTTGTATTTTATTTTAATAGAAGTTGATGTTGCTTTTGCAATTATCCATCAATTTTTTAAAATGAAACACTATCTACAGATTTGCATCGAAGCGTTTCTTATGATAGTGATTTTAATCACTGTCAGATTAAATCTATACTGGAAACTACTATGCAATGTCTCCACTATGCCGCGACCCCACTGTGCTACCGTTTTTTATTAATTATGTTTAATTAAAATAAAAAATCTAGTCAATAATGTATATTTTTATTGAAAAAATAAAGTTGACACTATCTGAAAACATATCATCAGTCAGTAGTTAAATTTAGAAATCTCAATTTGAATTATATCTTTTTGGGACATTGATTACAAAAAAAAAAAACGGGTTTATATTTAGTGTTACATAATATTATTTTTGGTAGAAGAAAAATTAAATTTAGCTTCTCCCAAATACAGAGAACTATCCTACACCTATGCTTACTACTATCCAAAAATGTTACAAAATTAAATGAGCAAATATGAATAATTCATCTGAATTACTCTTTAAACCCAAAGGACCTGGACATTGTGGTCAGTCAATTTCGGTGCTTTGTGTCATTCATCAGTCTCAGTATTCGATTGTCACAGTCCGGCTTACTGTATAAAGTCAAGTCTTCGCTTTTTTCCTTTTCACCTACCTACTCTCGTTCTCGACATTTCAGAGTGGTTGTGTCTTGCACTTCATATTTGACTACCCCTGTTCTTTATCCTCTCCTATACTCGAAGTATTATTATCTTGAGTTTCGTCTGCACCTCAAACCTAGGTGTTACCCTTATTTTTTTCCTATAACAACGGCCTTTGGACACCCACAGCCGAGCACGATAACTACTGTACGATTACACTTACGTGAATACCCAGATAGTTTCTTAACATCATCTTCATTCACACTACTCTACACCCTCTACTTCATCATTTTGTGTTAAGACAAAGTGCTGCTATAAGATTCCTACTAACAATTCGGGTGGTGCGATCTAGAATTACAAGAGAAAAAAAACCATCACATTAAATTAAACAATTATAAAACCACTCATTATTACAATAAATTATAATTAGAAATTAAATAAAATGTATAAACTACGAAGAGTTTAAAAACTAATATAAGTAATTTACCCTTTTTAACAACTTAATCCCATAGAGAAAGAATCTTGAATAGAGTTACTCAGATTTTATATATTTTGAAAATATCTAAAAAACTTGTTTTAATAGGTGAAAATGTTTTTATTTAGTAAGAGGAGTATAGTCTCGAATAGACAATACTAATAGAATAGAGTATAGTCACAAGAATGATCTTGGAGTTTGAGACATTTAATTCTAATTCGTTAAATACAATTAAGCTCGTAGGGGTTATTTTTTAAAATCTGTATAATAGAGTTAAAAGTGTGCAATTTTTTTTTACTATTGCATATAGTTTGTTATATTGTAGTTATAAACAATATTTTTTTTTTAAGCCTGATAAACTATTTAAAATTAATTGTTAATATTGAGATAAGAACTCTATTTAATGAGTGACTAAGTGAAACAAAATTAATAATAAAACTCACTATTACTCTATGTTTTGAGCGAATGATGTAAAACAATCTATAGACGACACCAAACGTTACGTGGTAGGTGTCGTTTAACAATTAATTATCTTTTACAATAATACCGAAGAAAAAAAAAATAAAACTATTTTAGTAGAAGAAATGGCCGACAATCGTGTGGAGATGCAGTGTTGCTACATCCTCACACGATTCGTTGCTCGAAAGATCATCGTACGTCACAGAAAAAGGCGATGTCAAGAAGATGACTTTAACGTGATGGGTTACGTAACGTGGACTCAAAGCGATGATGGACCATGTCGTCCATCAATGGTGTAAGAGTCCAATTAGTATTGAGTCAGTTTAAGTAAATAAATAAACTGAAAATTGTTGAATTATATATTTTTTACTCAAAATAATCACAAAGTTTACTGAATATTTACTACTTTGTAATTCAATATCATAATATTTAATTATAATTTTTAACCCAAATTAAATGTTTTTTCATTTAATTAATTGAAAAAAATTGTATGCAAAAATAAAATTGTGTCATATTCAACAATAAAAATATTCAATATCCACAAAAAAAATCCAAATCATAAAATTATTTAAAAACATAAATAGTAATCATAGAATGAATTATAACATAGGACTAAAAAAAATTTTTACAATATATATAAAGTATTCAATTTTACTTATTTAGTTAAAATAATTTTGTAACGAATAAAAATACATATAAATATGGTCTAATATTTGAAATCCATCAACAATTAATCCATAACTATAAAATTACATTCATTTTTTAATATTGAACTTTTACCTCAGTTATTGTATTAAGATTTTATCCTTAATTAGCTGATTTATTTTCTATTAAAAAAAAAAATTCTGTTTTAAATATTTATAATATGTAGTCTACATGTAAAAATGATTGCATCTTATTTAGTGCTAATAACACTACACATCAAATAAATTATAAACTAAAATAATATTTTTCGTTTTTTTTTGTAAAATGGTTTAATAACTCGTTTATAAAAATTCCAAATTCTTAAAATTTAATGCAATCAATTTTTATAATTTCAAAAAAAAAAAAAAGGAAATAAATAAATAACTTTAGTCGTGTAATTTTTTACAAAGCAGAATTTGCTGCAATGAGCGTATTTAACAATTTGTGTAACCAAGTATTATAAACTGAAAAACAATTTATTTAAAAAAAAAATGTGTAGTATATTTTAAATAAATGTTTTTACTATTTAGTATCATTTTGTGTTAAAATTGTCATAAACAAATTTTATTAATAATACCCGTCTCATTTAATTCTCTCAATAAATTTCATTGATTTGGCATAATATGTAATTCAAAATATATTAAAAATTTATTTAAAAAAATAATAATAGTAGTATAAATATTACTGATCTCCCTATTAAATTGTTAACTAATTACTATCTATTTGGAGTTTATGAAAAACAAAACATTTACAAAGAAAAGTGTTAGAAATTTGAGGTTCAATATGAAGTTGAGAAGGTATTGTTTTTGTGACTGTATTAGTTATTTATGTCTATCCATGAAAATTCTCAGCTCTCACTAGAACGATTTTAAAAAGCAATACGTCAAAGAATCTCGATTTTATCTAGTTGTACCTAACAACACCAAAAATGAGAAAAAAACATTATTTATTAAAAAGAATTATATTAAATAATTAATCATACAATAAGTAATAATGATATTATAGTGTTTTACATTTAAATGCAAAAATAAATAGCAATTATTATTTTCACTCATTATACATAGTAAAAGCATAAATTATATATTTTTGTCATAGATAATATAAAAAATATGTTAATATATTACAGTTTAAAATAATTTTCGCTTATTTTTAATATTTTATTTACTTTAATACGTATAAAAATGCAATACTTTCGTGGAAAATTAATAAAATATATCTTATGATATTATTTATTTATTTTAAATATTAATATTCTTGAAAAATGTTTTATAAGACATATTATTTTGTTTTAATTCTTGTTATTGATTTTTGGTTTGGTGATGTTTTTGGAAGCATTATTTTAATTGGCGAAGTAATTTGAAAAGTTTATTAAGTGATATTTAACTTAATAATATATTTAAGTTGCTTTTTATTTAATTTCTATGCGACATTTGTTAATGTAATATATTACACCTAATATTTTCTTAAAACTAAAAATATCATCATATAATTTTGTTTTTCATAAGGACCTTAAATTATTATTCTTTTAATTAATAGTTTTTTACATTTATTGTAATTAACAATGTCAAATGTGTATTGCACATTTTCAAATATTCTTTTTTTTTATATAGGAAGGAGTGATGAATATTATGAATTTGACAAATAAAACGATTATGGTAAGTGTCAATAATTATTAAAATTAATTATTAAATATTATGAATTAAACTCTTTTAAAATTAAAATGTGTCCTAGTAACATTCATTGGTTTTGTTTTAGGATCATGACACTAATAAGATTACTATACCTGGTTGTATCTCATCTTCAACAGTATGTTTTTCTTGTGAATTTTTTTTGTTGCTACTTATGTTGTGATATCATTTTACAATGATTAATAAAAACATTTTTTTATTTTATTTTAGGTTCTACAGTGTGGACCAATAACGATTGTAACCAGTTATTTTAAGTAGTTTTATAATCGTTTTAATTAATATAAGATCAGGGGGTATATAACAAAAATCATCATCTCAACCTATTCATCATTTGTACACAATTTGATAACATTATAGTTATTATGAGTTTTTAATTAAATTCAAACATTACAATTGATTATATCAATTCATTCGTCAGTTTCAGTACTCGGTTGTCGCTGTCTACTGCATACTGTACACTGTATAAAGTCATGTCTTTGTTTTTAGCTTTGATGCGAAGCTGAGAAGGTATTGATTTTACTAAGATGTGTTTATTTTTTTATTTTTTATTTTTTGTGTCTGTTACCACTTTTTCTCAGCTCTCCCCGAACAGAAAAGATCACAGTTCGTATCTAGTCGAAGACATAACCCTTTAAAATTGAAAAAATTTCCCTCGTTCCCCGCAAATGGGGGACACCTCCAAAAAAATTACAAATTTAAAAATCTCTAATTTTCGAAATTTTTTCAATTTTTTTTACTAAAAACTGCCGTACATTTTTCCAAAATGAACATTTCAATATGTATTTTTTTTTTATAGAGCTTGATGTCTTTACCTATCATTTGGTATATTTTTTTTTGTAAATTTGACTCTTTATCTGCCCACAGGGGGGGATTTAAAATGACAACTTTTTCACAAAAAATTTACTTTTTCAATTTAACTTTTGAAAATGTTCCGGAAGGTCTGACACTTTTATATATATTTTAAATTAAAGCTAATGTAATATACTTTAATTTGAAAAAAAAAATTTGACCTCTGGATTTGTCTTCGTGATGAAAATGGCTACCAAATGCTATTTTTAACACGCTTATATTAGTTTCACCTGTATGTATGTATGTATGTATGTATGTGTGTATGTATGTATGTTTGTAACTCTTCAAACGCCACGCGTTATCGCATATTCCGTCGTCTAGACTAGACTTCATANCTTCAAACGCCACGCGTTATCGCATATTCCGTCGTCTAGACTAGACTGTCATAACGCATTCACCCCACCCCACGCCTCGCTCCCCACACGACGGCAACGCTATTCCTATAAAAATTTATTTTTAGTTATCGTACCCGTACACGCATGCTTGTCATCAATATTATGTATATATAAACAAATTTTTATTTTGACTGACCAATACCATCCGCGTACCATACGGCTTACGTATATATTCCTACCGCCGTTTATACCTCAGGTATAACGTTAGTCCGACCCGCAAGCCCACAAAACACGGCTATACCTAGTGCATGATACGTTTACGTACTTAAGTCCCATTATTTGTCGCATATAACTATTAAAATTTATATATTAACATGATTTATTCTAAGAGATATAAAGTATTCATTCCGATTACGAGGGATGATTTCCGTATCGTCATTTTTTGTCACTACCTCCACGTTCCGGGAGTGAGTAATTTGCGCGCCTGCTGCTTTTCTTGGATGTGGTAGCCGTTTCTCAGACTCCCTCACCGGAATCGAACCCTGTATTCTCGTTACCCGTTACAACCATGATAGTAACTATATAGTAACTATAGTAACTACTATCATAACATAAAACTAAAAAGTAAAAAATAAATATAGTTTAAAAAAACTAAAAAAACACGCTTTTAAAGCACATCGAACTAAAAAGTTAAAAATAATTTTTAAAATAAGTTTAAAATAATTATGAACAAAAAATACTAGTATTATTGTGATAAAAGCGTGGGTGCTTTGTGCCATATTTTTCGTATATTGAGCGCCCGACGCTTTTATCGCAATAATACTAGTATTTTTTGTTCATAATTATTTTAAACTTATTTTAAAAATTATTTTTAACTTTTAATTTCGATTTGCTTTAAAAGCGTGTTTTTTTAGTTTTTTTAAACTATATTTATTATGAGAAAATTCTTGATTTTATATTTTACATTTTTTACTTTAAAATGCTATAACTTATTGAAAAGTGAAATAATCCCTTTTTCATTTGACATACTTTATCTTAATCGAGATATTAATAAGGAACCAGCAGTTCAAGTAGCTTTTGGAATAAAACACCAATTTTTTTCTAAATTTTTTCCAATTTATCTAAAGATTTGTATCGAAGCGTTTATTTTTGATAGTGATTTTAATCACTGTCAGATATCATTATACTTGATCCAACTATGCCACGTCACCACTTTGCTGGGTTTTTTAATATTCGTTCTTATATGTCTTATAAAGTCATGTTCCTTTTCACCCACCAACTTTTGTTCTCAACATTTCAGTGTACTTGTAACATGCAATTCGTCTACACCTCATACTCGGCTCCCCGTCCACTTTTTGAAGTACTAGTGCTTTGCACTTTGTCTGCGCCTCATATCTAATTGTTACACTTATTCTCTTGTAACAACGACTTTTTGATATCTACGGCCATTACGAAGTGTCAGTCAAGCACAGTAACTGCTGTAGGGTCACACGTACGTGAAAAAACAGGCAGCAGACTCATCATTATCTTCGTACCTATTCTACACTTTGACACGGCCACGGCGTTGTCACACGTTGACACCCCGCGGTCGTGTCAGCTCCTTCTCAGCCACCGCTTAACTGTAAACCGGACCGTCACACACACGCGTTATCGTCGTGGTGTAAAGTCCAACAAATGCCTAGCGTCGTATACCCCGCCGCAATAATACGTCCAGTCAGTTATCTCCGTGACACCACGACCGCAAGTTATCTGTGATATCGATACGTGATCGTCTTTCCGAATACCGAACAGTTTAGAATCGCTACTTCGGCACCTCATAATCTGCATTTTATTGTTAGTTTTAATCAATTTAGTTTTAAGCATTTTGTGCGTATTCTGTTTGTTTTCCTGTGTTACTTAAAATCAATAAACGGCTCGACGCCACTCTCTTCTTTCAACATCAACCTGTGTCAACTTCCTTTAGTATTTTGTTTAATATTACGATAATGATTATCTCACCTGTTCGACACATCTACACGATTTAATAAATTATAGGCGTATGTGATATTTTCGTGAGTATTCTATTTCAAATCTTTTGTGTACTTAGGATTTAATTGGATTTTCAGGAAAAACATAATAAAAATTTTTAATTTATTAATGTTAAAATTTAATAGAATCAGTGTATTTTTGAAAAAAGAAAGAAAATGAAGTATTTATACAGAACTTTTGCGATTTTTGGCTTATATTTATTTAATTTTTAAAACGCAAAATGGTTTTATTAGAAAACATTATTTTTACGTCAATTTAATTTTATGATATTTTTCTTTTTCTAAAATTGGGTTTTTTTTTGGAATTCTTGGCGATGATTAGGTTCGACTAGAATAAATTTGAGTTATTTTGACATTATGATCAATAAAATGAGTACAGTGAAAGCTGACAATCTTCATGAACCTACATAAAAATAAGACACACCATAACTATACCAATAACTCCTCAGCTTTCATTGAAGCCAAATAATTGTATTTTGGGGTAATACTGTACATTTTGTATGGAGCAATCATACGCACTTATTAAAAGTGGATTGTCATATCCAAAAAAATATTTTGTTAGAAAAATGAGCGAATTGTTTGTAATAATTATATAAGTAAATATTTAAAGGAATAATTTATAACTATTCCATAAATAATGGGGTTTCATTACAGAGTAATTCACTAATCTTTAACCACATGATCGAGAAATAAAAATAATTTTAATAATTTTTTTATTTATTTCATTTAGTTCAATGTTTCTCTCAATTTTTCAACCATAAATTTATTTTATGTTCATCACTTTTACCCTATTTTGGATATCAATTTTAATTTCTCAAATGTTAACACACATAATAACAAATTATTTAATAGATAATGATCTAATGAAGAAAATGACTGATGGATAATTACTTTAGGATCAGTTTTTTATAAATTATTAAAAATTAAAATTATGACTGGAGGTTAAGAGGGTAGGCTGTTATTTTTATAACTGAAGATTTTCTGTCCGTACCCTTCCTCACACTTAGATATAAATTTGTCAATGGAAATTTTGAACTAAAAAAAGCAAATAAATAAAATATTATTATTATTTTTATTTTTTGATAAGTTAAGTGTTACAAAATAAGTGAATCATCTTGCACATAATGATGTTTATTTTAAGTTTAAAATCATCAGAATAAAATTTCTGATTGTAACCAAACAGAATAATTGTGTTATAATTATATTTCAGGATTTTGTAAATAAGAAAAAAGTTTTTGCAGAAATTTTTGTGAATTATGTAAGTATTTAATAAAAAATGTGCTTATCTAAAGAATATATAATAATCCTCCTCTATAAAAAAAAAAAAAATGAAAAAAGTGACTTCTAGTAAGTAGATTTTTAATTTGTCGTAAGAGGTTGGTACTAATTTTTCTTATCTGTAGTTTTTCTATAAGAAAATATCTTGAGCTCGTATATATCTATAATAATAATAATAATAAGAAGAATTTTTAATTAAATACTAAAAATATATTTTGTATTTAATTTTAGTAAAGAATTAATAAAGTACTGATATTATTTTTTTTTCAGAATAATAGTTCTATAGATTCAGCTCATAAAACAACTATTAAAATCGTATGTAACTTGTATTATAAATGTTGAATATATAAGCATATAATTTTTTACATCCATAAATCAATTTATTACTAAAATATTCATACGATGTTATTTTTTATTGTGGACCACTTAATTACTAAAAAATAAGTATAATATTAACATTATTTTTTTGGTTTCTTTTAGTTTCGTGTTTTAGTTAATTTATCAATCATAAAGTATTTTTCATGATTTTCATACTTTGATTGTGTATCAATCAATATAGATAATGTGTATACACATTATTTAAAACTATCGATAACATATATAATATCGATAGTTTTGAAGTATCATTTAAATAAAATGCAATTTTAAGAATATTTCTTTACTATTTAATAGTATTTTTAAAGCTTATTAATGTTCCATTAAAAACACATTTCATTTAATAACTGATATAGTCAATACAGGTTTACTCTTTTAACATAAGTCAATCAAGTTCTCTTATAATGATGATTATTATGAGAACTTTTTTTTTGGCTTTTGCTGATTACCTACAATTATATCTCTATTTATCTATTATAAAATAATTTTCAGATAATTTCATAAAACCTTATAATAGTGTATTTTATTTATTTTTAATGAGAACATATGTATTTAACTAAAAATATCTAGTGATAAAAATAACAATACCTTCGTCTCACTTTTAGTCCATACATTATATTGTTAATAACTTGTGAAATACTAAATCAAATGTTATTATCAAACAAACATTTTTTAAATTAGATCATTTTCTATTTTATTAAATAATTAAATATATATTAAAATATTTGAAAATAATGTTGATTCTCTATATGGTTCAAGAGATACGAATATACACATCACACATATACAAGTATATATTAAAATGCATACTACTAAACGCATAAAACATTAATTAATACATGTTACAATAAAATAAGTTGAATTTTATGAAATATTATATATATCTGCACAACCTGATGGTTAATAAATTGTGAAAAATATGAAACTAAAAAAATAAAAAGTACAATATTATGATTACTATTTGATTAATTCAATGGTCAATGATAAAAAATCACTATAAAAACACTTTTAATTATAAATATAATTGTAATATATCACTGACTTGGTTTTAAAATTCATTGACGGTATTCTTTTTTTATTTTAATTATTTATTGCTGTCATATAATGTATAATTACTTGATTGATGTTTTTTTAAGATAATGATAAAGTTTAAAATGTTATCTTTTATGCGGTCTAAAAGAAATTTTTTCATAGAAATTCATATAGTATGTATCATAAAAATCACAAATCCAATTAGTTTTTTTCCAACAGTGATTATTATTATTATTTTTTATAATTGTTACATTTTTAGACTACGTAAAAGCATAATTTTCTTATTTGTTTTTAATAAGCTAATCAGAACAATCCATTTCGGAGATTACCAACATTTGAAAATACGTGCATATACCCACTCAATGTATTGAAATTCTTTAAGCTCGATAAATAATTGTCCTAAATTTGTTATTAATCAATCAAATAAAAAAAAAAAAAAAAAAGAGTTAAAAATAGCTATTTTGAAATTCAGAAAAAATGAAAAAAAATAAATTTTTAAATTTTTTTCTTATTAAAGACAAATAAGTAAAAATGTAACGAAGACTAAAAATCCAAAAATTGTTAAAAAAAAAAAAAAAAGTTACATAAAAATGATTGTTTAATGAAGAGTTATTGGATTTGTTATATCTTTGTGACTCACGCGCATTAAATATGTCAAATGGTAATTAAAAAATATCCGTAAAAATGTTTCAATTTTTACTTTTGTAGATAATATAATAATTATTATTTTTTTAATTTTTGTTATTTGTATTTTAGACGTTCGCAGAAAAATACATTACTTTAAGTCCCAGAAAAACATATAAAAATTATTCATACGACGGTAAGTATAGATCGTGTTAAAAAAATTCTGTTTGATGTTGAAACACATTACTGTATCATTATGACAATATAGAAATTTATTGTAATATTTCTTGAAAAATAACAAATTATTAAATCATTTTATTTACAGATGTTGGAATTAAACGATTGCAGGATTCTATTCGAAAATTAAACAATAAAATTCAATTCAATGTAATTAAAATCTATGTGAGTACACCATTAAATCTAAAATATTTTCCTGTAAATGATTTTGAATTTAAATCTTTTGTGAAAAATTTAGTTTTAAAGTAAATGCAGCACTACTCACGAAATACATATCAATGTAGATAAGACTCGATATTGAAAGTTTTTTTTTTCAATAAAATAACACTTAAAATAATAATTATTTTAAATTAAGAATCAATTTAAACTTTATAAAATTATATCTCATAAATATTTAATAGCTATTTTGCGTTTAGTATAAAATTAAATAAACCCAGCACAAGGGGGTCGCGGCACAGTGGTGACGTGGCATAGTTGGATCAAGTATAATGATATCTGACAGTGATTAAAATCACTATAAAAAAAAAAACGCTTCAATGCAAATCTTTAGATAGTGTTTAATTTAAAAAATTGATGTATTATTCCAAAAGCTACATGATCTGCTAGTTCTTTATAAATATCTTGATTAAGATAAAGTATGTCAAATGAAAAAGGGATTATTAATTCACTTTTCAATAAGTTATAGCATTTTAAAGTAAAAAATGTAAAATATAAAATCAAGAATTTTCTCATAAAAATAGCATTTGGTAGCCATTTTCACCACGAAGACAAATCCAGAGGTCAAATTTTTTTTTTCATATTAAAGTATATTACATTAGCTTTAATTTAAAATATATATAAAAGTGTCAGACCTTCCGGAACATTTTCAAAAGTTAAGTTGAAAAAGTTCTTTATATATGCATTTTTTATATTTTAAGCCACCCCATATATAGGGAAATGGTTTGATTTAAAAAAAAAGTAAGTCCAATTTTTAGAGAAAAGACAGTATATAGGAACGCGTAAAGGGCATGTAAAACGTGTTAAACCGGAGAGAGCGTTCACCGCAGGCGCTCGGAAGTCGATCGTGCTCCAGTAACTAGACTTTGCACCATGTTAGATAGCGGGGGAACTCTTATCACGTCGGTATCACGATGTAATAAGAGGGCTGTTGAAGGAGAGTGTATAAACGTATCGAAAAACATATGGCACTGTGTCGGAGTTTACTATGCAAATAAGTTCTTTATATACAATTGTATCGATGCGTTTTTTTATGATATTCACTATTACTTCGATTAAATATTAATATTAAATTTTTTTCTATATTAAAGTTCTCTATGTAGGGTTCCTCTGTACTGGTTTTTTAAATTTAATATAAGATCGTGATTAAATTTATAATGGAAAAAAATTACGAACTATTGAGAATTTTTATTTTAATTTATAATTTATCTTTTACGACAAAGAGATTATTCGTATTTCTAAACTATACAGGTTGATTCATTAAGGATAAGACTCTCGTTTACTCAGTAACTATTGAAAATTTTTAATTTTTGGTAAGGAAATTAATTCAAATAACACTAAAACAATATGTAGTAAAAACATGATATTTTTCATCCCTTCAAGGTTAAAAAACATTAACTTGAGTTTTTTTAAATGAGAACACATATTTTGAATTTAATAAAACGTTTGAATTTTTAATATAACTTCATTCGTTTATTAGATATAAACACTCAAAGTTTCAAATTTTTTAGTTAATGTACATGTATAATATACAAGGGATTACAAATACAGGTAGCTAATTGGTTTTTTATGACATTGTTTTCACAGTCACGGATTGTTCATTATCAATTATGACTATCAATAGATATACTTTCTGTATTGTCAGTTAGTGTATTTATAAACTCACAACAATGTGCCTTGCTACCATTGATAACAACAATGCTGTGTACCTGCTAATATCGATGTCATAAAATACAATTAGCTATCTGTATTAACTCAAAAATTTGAAACGTTGAGTGTTTATATCTAATAAACAAATATAGTTATATTAAAAATTCAAATGCCATTTGCTATTAAATTAAAAACTCAAACATTTTATTAAATTCAAAATGTGTTCCCATTTAAAAAAAATCAAGTTAATGTATTTTAACCTTGAAGGGATGAAAAATATCATGTTTTTACTACATATTATTTTAGTGTTATTTGAATTAATTTCCTTACCAAAAATTAAAAATTTTCAATAGCTACTGAGTAAACGAGTGTCTTATCCTTAATGAATCACCCTGTATACTAGTTTCTCTATTCAGCATTTAAGTTTCTTTGACCCAGGTAATAGTAGGAGTAATAAGGGCCCAATAGTACCGATGACATTCTACTTATACTGAATAATTTTTTTATCATAACTCACTCAATTACTTAAAGAATAAAAATAATTTAAACATTTTTTTTTTTGGTTAACTTTAGTTCCATATTATTCTTGAATAACTATGTAACACTTGTGAAGTTTACAACTTATTACTTGTAAAGGTATCAACTTTGTTTTTTTAATTGGGAACTTTTGAATTTTGAATTTAATAAAATATTTGAGTAATATTAGTAAATATTTTATTTTAATTGTAAATGACATATGAATTTTTGAATATAACTTTATTCGTTTATTAGATATAAAAATTTAATGATTCAAATGTTTGAATTAATATACATGAATAATACAAGAATAAGGATTTCAAATACGGGTGGCTAATATGTGTTTTATAACGTCGCTATCGCGATCACGGAGTGTTTATTGTCAATTATGACTATTAATAGATATACTTTCTGTATTACCAGTTGATGTATTTATAGTTTCACAACAATATGCCATAATACTATTGATAATAAATGCTGCGTATTTGCGAATATCGAAGTCATAAAAAACCAATTAGCACTTTTATTTGTAATCCTTCGTGATTATACGTGTATAATAAATCAATAATATGAAATTTTAAAATTTTATACCTAATTAACATATATAATTATTATAAAAATTAATTTCCCTATATTCATAGTCGTATTGAAGCGTTATTTGTTTTAATTTTATATTGTAGTTCACTGTGAGGGGTTCTGACTGTCTTGGACAGATAATTCCATTAATTAAATTAATACTTCACAACCATACTAGTTTGTATATTTATCACTGAAGTTTCTTTGACTTAGATTTGAGTAGGCGGCTTACAGGGTAAATAGAACCGATGATATTTAATGATTTCACGTGGACGCATAGAATATATTTTTAATGAAGTAAGATATTTCAACTTCGATTTGATATAAATTACATATTTAATTTTTACAGGAGAGTAATCTTCCTAATAATAGAACTTTAGCTTATTCTACCGTTTATGATAATCATTTAAAAACACAACTACATATGATAGTAAACCTGTCTATATGGCCATATGTCAAAGAGGAAATTGTTAACATGGATATTTCTACTCAATCCAATATAACACTTGAAGATTTCATCATTAATTCAACAAAGTATAAAAAAAATGTTATATCTACTATTGAGGAAGCAAAAAGAATCATGGATGTTAGAACTTTTAAGTATGCGTTTTTACTACTCGTATATGCCCATATGACACTAAAACATGATGATAGTGCAAGAATAATGGATTGGAAAAAATTTATAAAAGTTTCTAGACAATTGAGTAACGCACAAATTAATTCGAAAAACTTTAATAATATACTTTATGACTTACGCGTTGATTTTAAAATATTTGAAACTATTGATTCAGAAAGTCGTCAGCAAATTGTTAAAGAATTGATGCAGAAATACACAGAATTATTTTCTATAATTTTAAATATTACAGACAAATCACTGCAAAATGTATTAAGTAAAGGATTTCAGGGATTTTCCGATCCTTGCAAAGACTTCGGCGAATCAAACTGTTTTGAGATTATACCGAATCAACCAACCTTTATAGTAATAAATTTGAAACTCCTTTATGGGTTAATTGCCTCACAATACAGTTCATTTTTATCAGAAAATTATAACGAGATTTTAAACGATTCTTACTCGAATGTTTCGAGAAATTAAAAAGTATTTTTTTTTCCTAATTACATTAAAAGATAAAGAATGATTATTTCATTATGTACAACTTATGTAATCGAAAAATAAAATAAATATGGAATATAAATAAAGTAAAAAAAAAATATTACTTCTTTTAGTTGCATATTAACCTATGAAGTAATTATATACTTGTCCTTTTTTTCTATTAAAGGTCTTAACTTCAATTATTTAAACAGCAACAAACATAATAAAGTAACTTCTTTATTCTATAAAGATCTACTTAAGAACTTAAAAAAAACGTTTTTCAAATTATAATTGATTTTAATTTTCAATATATTAAAAAAATAAGTGCAAATCTATTTAACCTATTTTTTTGGTTCTTGAAAGTTAATTTTTACGAAAGTAAAAAGGTCAATTGTTATTATAACTTTTATGTACATTTAGAAGTTAATTCTATTATTCCCTCGATAAAAATTATTCGTAACTTATTTTAAATCTATCTTTAATTTTTTTATGACATGCTTAGAAATATGATTACTTAATTCGTGTCCAGCTAGTTTGATCGTTTATTGTAAATATATATATATATATATTTACACTTAATATATAAGTGTACACTTATATATTTACACTTCGTAATATATAATATATATAATATATAATATATCTACACTTCGTATCTGAATACATATATATATATTCATTTATATTTTAAAATTAAATTTATAGAACCAGATAGATTATAAGAATCAATCCCTAGTGACATATCACAAATTATTGTTTTATCAATAATTTTAACCGCTAGATGTGCTAGGGTAATGATTCTAATAAACCATTAGTATCTTGTGGAATCAATCAAACACATATCTATCCATATTCAAGATACACTCTACCATCTCCTTAGTGACACGTTACAAACTATTACTTTACCAACAGTTTCAACCGCTAGATGTGCTAAGGTAGATTTTTGAAATGCACTTATTAAATAGACACTCGAATTGAAGAATTAAAAAAAAATTAATTGTCTTAATATTAAAAATAAAAAGTTTAAGTTATTATTGTTTTTATTACATTACTTATAAGAGAGTTAGATGAAAAACACCAAGTGTGAAAAAGTTTCTCAGTCCGAGAGAGCATAATCGCAAAACATTTTGGTGCAGAGATGCTTCATGACCAAATTTTTGGAAAAAATGAGATGACGAATGAGCCTGACATTGCTCTTTTATAGGCGAATTTTTGTGGGGGAAAATCAATATTTTAGATTTTAATTGAAAAATGTTTCTTATTGGTTAGTCAATTAAACTTAAAGGGACACGTGCGCAACCTATTATTCTATTATTTTAAGTTAATGTTACATACGGGTATTGATGTTTTATATTTATCATTTCCCATAATAACTTGTTTTATTAGAAAAATCATCATTATAAAAATAAAAATAAAATAAAATAAAATTATAAGTGCTAAATATCTATTACAGCATTCTACTAGAACAATATTTGATTTATTAATACCCAGCACTAATGAGGTAGTAGTAGATAGTCAAATTTCTCAAATAAACTAAGGGGGGAATAGAAACATTAACGTAAAAGAGGGTGATTGTGTACTAGTAAAAGATTATAGAAATATAGGAGAAAACTGGCAAAAAGCTACGGTCTCTGAAAACACAAGTGACAAAACACACAAAGTTAAATTAAATCAAGGTCCTACGTAGACAAGACACGACAACCAAATTTTGACCATTAAACAAAACAAGCGGCTCGTTATTCCCCGTAGGTGAAAATATTGACATATACAACAATGACTACACAGAATTAATCTTACCGCTCTGCAATAAATCTCCCCGATCTGTTAGAATTAAAAAACCTATTCAGCGTTTCTCTCCATCCCATTACAAATGACAACAAACAATTTTACACTATATAAACATCTCTGTCTATATGAATGAACATCTTATCTGGTTATAAACGGTAAACTATAAGCTAAATCTTACACTCTCATCAAATTTCAATATTTATTTATATGTTAATAATTATTTAAAATATAAGTGTATTACAATTTTATAAGGAAAGAGGTGTTACGTATTGATAAATATTATATAAATTAGTAGTGGGGATTGTCCATTACTCGTGAGTGCGACCACTGACACATACAATTAACATAATTGAATATCAACTATTGAATAAGTTTAACATAATTTAATATGTTAATTAACATAATAAACAATTATATTGTTTCTCAATAAAGACTTATTTTCTGTTTAACTATTTGATGTTGTAATAGTATTATTTTAAATTACCAAATGATGCAATAAAATTGCAGTCAAAGTTAGATAAATTTGTTGAATGGAGTCGTGCTAATCACCTTCCATTATATATAAATAAGTGTAGTGTGACTACGTTTTTCCGAATAAATAATACAATCACCTATAATTATTTGACTAATAGAGACTTGTAACTAATAGAGTTACAAGCATTTTCTCTATCAGAGACTTGGGAATAATCTTTAATTTTAATTTGGATTTTTCCACCCATAATAATACCTTTATTAAAAGAGCTTTTAAGATGCTTGGTTTTATTAATAGAGAAGCACGATAAATTAAAAAAATACTAATGCCTTAAAAACTTTATATTTTTCGCGAGTGATCGGTAAATATTTTCTGACCTTTGCAAATAATTTTCTCACAGTCTCATGACTAAATACTTTAGTTGGAAAAAAATTTTTTGAAAATCGAATCATGCGAAATATTTTCCCACAAAGCATTTTTTCCTTGTTCTATTATTTAATAAGATTACGCAGTTAATTAAAAACCAAGGCAAAGAAGACCAAGTTTTAAATTCATTATCATAATTGAAAACAAAATTTATATGGTACATGATCTAAGTATTCAACTTAGTGATTCTTATTTACTATAGGATTCAGAGTGATATGACTCATAAAAAGTTGCAAGATGGGCTTTTTTCGGCCTGTAACAACAATATGGTTTGCCACTTGCATAACGACTAGCTATAGTAACAAGGGTCTTCACCACCTAGGTGAGGTATCATACCTATCAGATATGATTACCGGACCATAGATGTACTTTAATTTTAAGTTAATTAAAAGTGTAATCTAAGTTAATATGTCGTTATATGTATAAATGATTATAATACCTCGTGGCCTATTAACCACAACTATGATAATTAAAGTTGTATGTGGTTGATATGTAAAACATACCGTAGCCCGTATACATACATAGATTAATATGGCATGTAATATTTGATTAAATTTAATATTTAAAATATTCCACTGAGATTTATGAATTTTAATAATTTATAATGGGATAACAATTGTTTTAAGGAGAAATATATTAAAAATGTCAAATTTTATAGATTTTTAAAGTCATATTATTTTAGGGATTTCCCTTATTTACGAGAACAAGAAAAATATTTTTGTTACAAAATTTCAAATGTATAGTTGAAAAAAAAATGTCTACTGAGAGCTAAGAAAAAGTGGTGATAGACACAAAAAATTAAAAAATAAATAAACGCATCGTAGTAAAAATAATAACTCCTCAGTATTAATTCGAAGCTTAAATAATGAATATCATTATGCCATTATCACTTTTTTGTGCTTATAACTTTATAACCAAGGGTTTTAAATATTTAATTCCTATGGACAATTAAAATTATATAGTGGAATTTTTTAAATGTAATAAAACATAGTAAATGGTAAAATATATGGTAAAACAATTGTAATAAAAGCGTGATGTTACAATTTTAGAATTTATAATATAATGGATATTAATAAACTTGAAAAAAAAAATTTTACTTTTGTTGTTTCTACATTTTGATTGTTTTTAACTAAACATGAACAACATCACAAACTGTACAAATTTATTCTTAGCGTTCATAATAGTTTTCTAAAACACTTTTGTATTTTTGTATCAGCCTTTTGACTGGCGCCTAAAACGGTATAGAGTTCTATTGTTATAAAAATGAATTCTAATTAAAATACTAAGACTCGTAACTCTGTTCGGTACATTTAAGATTGTCCATAACTAGAAGGCGCAATAATATTTAAAAATTTTAAATAAAAGAGAATAAAAAAATTTATTTTGGATAAAAATATTATAAATCATCTAAAAACATACTTTAGCTAAATTTAGGTTAGGCTTAAAAATTTATTATATATGTATTCCACAATTAAGTTGGAATTACCTTTAGCCTCTTAAAAAATTGTATACATATATTATATAATTTTTTATTGGATTATCCAGTAATTAAAAAGAAAATAAGTAATTTAAAAATATTTTTAAGAAAAAATTGATCTTATGACATTTTAGAGTATGCTTTTAGATAATTATAATGAAATTTTTTTTTAGTAATTGAGATTTTTTAACAATTATAAGCAAATGATATTATAAATAGATATTAAATATGCAAATGACAGAAAAAAACATTTTCCGCATTTTATGTATATTCAAATAACACTTAGTATTCCTCTAATTCGAATAAGAATAATATCACAAATACGTTTTACTTGTGAAGTTTTTTTTAGTTATTACCATAGAAAAATCGTTACTTATTTATCATACTAAAGTTAAAACCTTACGCTGTAATACAATACTATATCGTTTTTGAAAATAAATTGCATGTGATATTCAAATCAAACAAACGTGTTCATTTAAATTATTTTTGAAAAATTTGTTAATGTTTAATCAATATATTTAAATATTTTCACAAAATATTCACAAATATTACTAAATTTTTTTAAATCCATCATTTCTTGTCTCAAGTTTCAACTTGTCTGCTCTCCCCTAATGAAAAAACGGGGACAATATTTTTAATAAATCAAACTGAATATTATTTTTGAAAGCTAATATATTAATTTCAGCTATTTTACGATAATAAAATCATAATAATATCTTTTGCAAATAAAACTTTTTAGGAAGAAATAATAAAATATTCATAGAAATCATCTTTCTGTGTACATATCGTATCAAAAAGTTTTTGAAATTTTCATATGATTTCTACTCGATTGAAACCATTAAAACAACCAACATTAAACATGAATGATGTTATGTAATAACCGAAAAAAAATATCAGCGTTTTTTTTATATATTTGATTACATTTGAGCTTTAAGACGTTTTATTAGGTTTTGGACAAGCAAATTAAAATTGCTGGATACGTTTTTAACAAATTTAACTGATTTTTTAAACTTTTTAAACTTTAACCATCGATAGTTTTACTTTTAATAATTATTGAAATATACTTTTTAATATTTATTAAAAAAAATTTAATAAAGTGTTTTGAATGAATAAAAAAATCGAAATTTTTTAAAACTTTATGTTGTATGTTAATTGATTACAATTATACCATTTAAATCTTTTTATTTTTATAAATAACTGAGCAGTTTAATAATACGCATTGCACAGTGATGAAGTTAGAATAAATTTAAGAGGTTCCAATGTATAAACTGATGTTTTTAGCCTCATCAGACTAACTCTACACAGACGTCTCGGACAACGTTCCTAATATAACAGATTGTACTCTAGAAAAATCGTAGACTCAACAAACTCGTTCCACCTTTCACCCTTTTCTCGCTTTTATTTTATTTATTTATTTTTTATTTTTGAGTAAAATAATATGTGGCAGCTAAAATGTATAATAGTTTTAATTAAAAATATAATAATTATAATATAAATATTGACACGGTCCCGTGTCGCTTTATCAGCCGTCGTCCTACTTGGGGTATTTGGCAGTTTGACTGACCAACACGGCGTCCCATACGCCACTGTACAAAGTCCAGCAAGTAACGCACGTCCGTCGACGACCCGCCACAAATGATACATTTTCAGTTATTTGGGACACCACAAAAATCACTTAGTTCGTTCGATTCGTCAACGCCTCGGCGCACAACGGCAGTAATTAGAGATCATCTCCAGTAATTAGTCCAAATTCGCGTTATTGTAAACTCGGCGTTTTGCTTTTCTTTCTATGTTATAACGTTAAAGAATATCGCAAAGTGTTATAATAAACGACCCACAGGTCTCTACCATCAAAACTAGTGTCGTTTCTTTATATATTCTTATTACCACCGAACTAATTGTGTGTTAATATTACAATTTTTTCTGCTAAGTTGTAGACTAATTATAAGAATCTAATTAATATCTATTTGGCAATTATATAAATTTACATTTACTCATAAAAATGTTAGCATTACATATTGTGTTTAAATAAAATTCATTACAGTAGTTAACATTATAAATAAAAAGTGTAAAAGTAAAATACAATTTTTTATCACATTTAATACATAAAAATAATAATATAATTTATACATTTTTGTTGTGGTTATACGAAAACTATGCCATTATTCCTAATTTTATTCGGCCGTTACCAAAAAAATCCAAATCTTCTATCAGTCAACAAAATTAATTACTCTCACTTAATTTTATTTCATTTAAAATATTCAAGTGAGTGTACTTTTTTCGTTTAAAAATCCATTCTTTTATCCATCGTTTACGTTTTGACTGATTTTTTTTGTTTAAGAAACAGCAATTATAATTGCAATACATGCCTTTTTTTTATCCATCTTCGTTAATTTAAAACTATTTAAACTAATTAATTAATTAAAAAATATTTATGCTAGGCAATTAAAATAATTAATTAATTTACAGTAATCAATAGACAACAATCGATCTGAACTACTGTGAAAGTAAAAAAATACTGAGTATTGACTGTAATTTGTAATGACCGTTTGAGAACTATACTGCCAGTTATGTAAATACTGTCAGTAATATTGATCGTGTGAAGGTTGCTTAAATATATGTGTGGATATTACAACATCCACCCCAATTTTTATAAGTGTTGTGTCCTCACAACTGAGGTTTAGCATGGTCAAAAAAAAATTTGTCTTAATAAGGTTATAATAATAAATTTTTGTAAAAAGTTGTTCGAGTAAACGCCAAGATACCGTCAGTTGGTACCTGTGAGCTACCCTGGTAATAGTTTGGTTATGTAGCGGCGTTACTTTTAGTTCATAAAGAATGTGTAGAGGCAAAAACTGTAGCTCGGCAGTCAAATCTTTCGGTTAAAGTTTTAGAGGTAGAAAACAGAGCGACAGAGCCTGAAGTACAGCTCGGTACCACGGCCTGTGTGTCAAAGTTACCTGATATACCTCTGCCTAAGTTTGATGGAGAGTTGAAGAATTGGCCTGACTTCCGGGATCGCTTTAAGTCACTTATTCATCAAAGGCCTTCACTTACAAATGTCGATAAATTTTATTATCTATTAAGCTGTTTGCAAGGAGACCCCTCTGAAGTTCTTAAAGGGATTACAGTGGCGGAAGAGACCTATGCTATAGCCTGGTCTACCTTAATTGAGACATATGATAAGCCAAGATTGGCGGTCCGTATCATTGAGGATATGTTGAAGGCGCTGGTTAGTGGTGCAGAAAATGTGACCACATTGCAACAATTTCTTACCACTTTCGATGAAGGCATCGCTACCTTAAACGCTATGAAGATTCCAGATTTTGCTTCTTTTTTATTATTTTCAATAGCAGCCAGGTGCTTACCGGCCAACAGTAGACGTTTGTTTGAGACAGATAATACCCGGGAGTATCCAGTGATTGAAGATGTAATCAAATTTGTCAAAGCTAGAATTAATATTTTGGAGAATGCAGGACCGGCAAGTCTACCCAGTTCAGCATTAAGTAAACCAGCTCAGGTATGGACTAAAAAACCCAACGCTAATGATAATAAAAAATATATACAACAGCATGAAAGGCGGGTTGCATTCCTCTCTACAGCAAAGGGACAGAAAAATGTAAAACAGTCAGCCAGCTCGGGTAAGTGCTATTGTTGCGCTGGCACACATGCACTCAAAGATTGTATTAAATTCAGAGAGTTGAATATTGATGGTCGTTATGATGTTGTCTGTAAATTCCGTTTGTGTTTGGTTTGCTTTGATCAAAACCATATGTCTTATAAGTGTCCTTCGGCATGCTCCATTTGTTAGAAGCGTCATCACGCCCTGTTGCATCGAGACCAACCGAAGTCTCAACCATCTACATCCAATACAGCTCAGGTATCGTTGTTTGGCCAGCAAGAATTACCTTCAATTTTGTTAGGCACTGCGTTGGTATCGATAAAGGATGTGGTGGGACAATATCAATGTGTTCGTGCCTTGATTGATTCTGGCTCACAAATCAGTGTTTTGAGTGGTGAGTGCTGTAAAAGATTAGGGTTATGTCCATCTCGTTGGACTATTCCAGTAACTGGTCTTTCTGGTCAGAAAGTGACAGACATTCAAGGTATGGTTGATTTGACTGTCAAGCCGCTATCATCACAGTTACCTTTATTGGATGTGAAGGCTTGGGTACTACCGACCATTTCCTCTATTTTGCCTACACGTCGGTTGCCAGCTGAAATTCGTTCAAAATGTGATCATCTGTCGTTGGCGGACCCATCTTTTGATTCCCCAGCTCCGGTGGACATGTTGATGGGTGCAGATATTTTCCCTCAGATATGGAGCAATGAATCCATACAGCTAGGTCATGGACTGCCCTCCGCTTACAGCTCGGTTTTCGGATGGGTGCTGATTGGTCCGATCCAGCAACCTAATGTTATATTCCCTCAATCGTTAGCAGTATCTCTTACTACTTCAATAGAAACCCTAATAGAGAAGTTTTGGCAGATCGAAGAGCCGGCAGCAGCTCCGCTAAGATTTACAGAGGACGGCCAATGTGAAGCTATTTTCATGGAGGAGATGTACCGGGAATATAATGGACAATATGTTGTGCCTCTACCCTTTAGATCTGTTAGCTCGGACAGACTATTTCCGGGTATGCGCGAGGTGGCTCTACGTCGATTTTACCAACTCGAAGGCAGGCTTCAGCGGGATAGGTTGTTACACGAGGCCTATAAGAAATTTATGAGAGAATATGAAGAACTTGGGCATATGTCAAGGTCAGAGGAACCTGGGGAGTACTTCATACCTCATCATGCCGTACATAAAATGGTAGGTGATGAGGTGAAGTTGCGGGTAGTGTTCGATGCTTCTGCTAGGTGTCAGGATGGATACTCTCTTAATGATAAGCTATTTGTCGGTCCTAAACTTCAACAAGATATCGTTGATGTTTTGTCTGGATTCCGTATCCACCAAATTGCCTTTACCACAGATATTTGTAAAATGTATAGGCAGATAAAGGTACATGATCAGTACAAGGGGTACCAACACATTCTATGGATAGAGCTCGCTCATGAATCGTCAAAGAATATACCCTTCACACAGTAACGTATGGGGTGAATTGTGCTCCATACCTGGCTCTCAGAGTATTGGAACATTTAGCTGACAGCATTAATAAAGATTTTCCGGATGTTAGTGCCGCATTGAAGTTTCATACCTACATGGATGACATATGTGTTGGGGCTGAGTCAGTTGGAAGGGCAAAGGAATTAAAGAGGAATCTAGAAGAAGTACTAGCAGGTGCAGGGTTGACCCTTAAAAAGTGGTCTAGTAATTCGTTGGAACTGCTCGAGGATGTTCCGGATGAAGACTGTGTTTGTTCTCCTTTGGCGTTTAGCCGTGGTGATGGTGTTCCGGTGTTAGTCATGCAATGGGTTCCAGATAGTGACTACTTCACCTACGACATCAGCGCTATAAAATGTGTACCTTCCAAACGAGGCATTTTGTCAGTAATTGCAAGGATATTTGATCCGCTCGGTTTTTTAGCGCCTGCTACATTCTATGCCAAAACTCTAATGCAGAGATTATGGATCTCAAAAATCAGCTGGGACGAACCTTTGCCTTCCGACTTAGGGGATGATTGGAACAGGTTCGTTAGTTTCTAGGATTCATGGCCACCATTCGTGTGCCTCGTCATGTTGGAGTGGCATCCGGTAATTCCTATCTGCTCTGTGGGTTTTCTGATGCGTCAGAGAAAGGCTACGCGGCGGTCGTTTATTTGAGAGTGACTGATCCGTCCTCTAGCGTTCGTCTTTATCTATTGGGAGCGAAAACCAAGTTAGCTCCTATCAAGGCTTGTACAGTTCCCAGGCTAGAACTTTGTGGTGCAGTACTACTCGCCCAATGGTTGTCTAGACTCAGGGGAATACTAGCAGCTCGGCTAGATATTCCCAAAGTTTACGCGTGGTCAGATTCGTCAATTGTTCTGTTCTGGTTGAGTAACCCGCAAGTGACGTTCAAGCAGTTCGTCTCTAACCGTATAAATCGCATCCAGCAACTATTGCCTGATGTTCAATGGGCTTATGTTAAGTCTGAAGATAACCCAAACCCAAACGTCAGATCTTCCTAGTTGTAAGCTCTATTGGGCTGGTCCGACGTTTTTGAAGAAACCAGGGAGTGAATAGAATCTGAAATCGGCCTCTGTTCCAGCAGATCGGCTCCCAGAGGTTCGAGAAGTTCAGGTCTCAATGGTATGTATGATGGAAAATCCAGAGGAATGGTATAGACGTTTTTCCTCTTATATGAACATGTTCAGAGTTACCGCACGCATTAGACGTTGGTTATGTTCGAAAGGAAAGGAGTATATGGATTTTATTTCTACTCAAGAATTGAATGGAGCGTTATATGCTATTGTGAAGCAGGCTCAGAAATTGTTTTTTGTTGATCTAGTGCAAGAACTGCACCAGAGGAAACCAGTAAGTTCAAAATCGTTAAGGCAATTATGTCCGTTCTTAGATTTTCATGGAATAGTACGTGTTGGAGGTCGTTTACGGAATTCTAGTTTACCTGATAACCAAAAGTACCCTATTCTAATACCTAAAGAATCACATTTGGCTCTTTTGATTGCTCGCCATTGGCACTCATTCGCTTGCCATGCTGGTCCAAGATTGGTAACGGCTCTTATCAATCAACGCTTTTGGATTGTCGGCATCAGGCTGGTTGTGCATAGAGCAATAAGGGAATGTATAACCTGTGTTAAATTTACAGGAGCGAACCCGCAACCAGTTATGGCAGATCTGCCAGCTGCTAGAGTTCAAGGTTGTCAGACCTTCTCCAAAGTGGGAATGGATTATGCAGGACCCATTACCATGAAAGAGACAAGTCTTAGGAGGTCCAGGGTATTCAAGGTCTACATTGCGCTTTTTGTCTGCATGACTACGAAGGCGGTTCATTTGGAGTTGGTTCTGGATCTGACCACTAAAGCGTTCTTGGCAGCTCTGGATAGGTTCGCAGCTCGACGAGGCCTACCCTCCGCCCTTTTTTCAGACTGTGGTACAAACTTTGTGGGGGCCAGTAATCAGCTCCGTAAACTGGTCAATGACCCTGCCAATAGAGATATCCTAACCGCTCAGATGCCTGTTGAATGGAATTTTAATCCTCCTAGCGCCCCCCACTTCGGTGGTTTGTGGGAGGCTGCGGTTAAATCCACTAAATCTTTGATGGTTAGCACTATGGGTGCTCAGGTTTGGTCTCTTGAAGAGTTCTCTACCATTTTGTGTCGAATAGAGGCGGCACTTAATTCTCGGCCACTTACGCAGATGAGCTCCGACCCAAATGATTTAGAATACTTGACGCCAGGCCATTTCATAATTGGACGCTCTTTACTGGCTGCTCCTGAGGAAGGATGTGAAGATAAGAAGTTGAATCTACGACATCGCTGGAAGGTCCTCCAGCAGTCCTTCCAATTTTTTTGGCGGCGCTGGTCTGCAGAATATTTATCAACGCTCCAAGCTTGTGGACGTTGGCAAGGTACTCAACCAAATGTGAAGGTAGGTGAGATGGTAGTACTAAAAGATAAGATGGCATCTCCATTGACATGGAAGTTAGGCCGTGTTAAGGAAACACTACCAGGTGATGATGAAGTGGTAAGGGTAGTCAAAGTGCTCACTAGTCAAGGGCTTCTGGTTAGACCAGTAGTAAAACTGGTACTATTACCTACTGATTAAAAATTGTTTTTTTTTATTTAATCATTCATAAATTACCTTTTTCTTCATTTGGTAATCTATTATGTATATAATTTAATTTAATGTATATAATTAATTTTATGTTTTGTTAACTATTTAGTTAAAGTCAGTATTTCTTTGTACACTTATGTCTTTATAGCTCTATACCATTTATGGTTACTAGATAAGTATAACCTAATTGTTATTGTTTAAAATTGATTCTGTAATATTGTCCATTGTTAACATGTATTGTATTTTATGTTAGTCCCCCCATTGATACGTGAAATTGCAGCTCAGATTAGCTTAAAGAAGTCAGATCAGACAAAATGTAACACCTTCGAAACCTCCTGTGATTGTAAGTCCAGCTGGGACTTCCAAGGGGGAGTATGTTCGAGCAAACGCCAAGATACCGTCAGTTGGTACCAGTGAGCTACCCTGGTAATAGTTTGGTTATGTAGCGGCGTTATCAGCTCGGATAACGTCCCGCCATTATTGCGCTTGGTTCGGCGTTTTATTGACGTTGCTCAGCGTCTCGTCGCTGTGTTTTAAGTTTTGCACGTTGTTCAGCGTCTCGTCGCTGTGTTTTTATTTTATTGACGTTGCTCAGCGTCTCGTCGCTGTGTTTTATTATTGACGTTGCTCAGCGTCTCGTCGCTGTGTTTTATTATTGACGTTGCTCAGCGTCTCGTCGCTGTGTTTTATTATTGACGTTGCTCAGCGTCTCGTCGCTGTGTTTTATTATTGACGTTGCTCAGCGTCTCGTCGCTGTGTTTTATTATTGACGTTGCTCAGCGTCTCGTCGCTGTGTTTTATTATTGACGTTGCTCAGCGTCTCGTCGCTGTGTTTTATTATTGACGTTGCTCAGCGTCTCGTCGCTGTGTTTTATTATTGACGTTGCTCAGCGTCTCGTCGCTGTGTTTTATTATTGACGTTGCTCAGCGTCTCGTCGCTGTGTTTTATTATTGACGTTGCTCAGCGTCTCGTCGCTGTTTTTATATTTCACGTTGCTCAGCGTCTCGTCGCTGCGATTTTTATAAGTTGTTCGTTGTTCAGCGTCTCGTCGCTGTTTTTATATTGCACGTTGTTCAGCGTCTCGTCGCTGTGTTGAAGAAGAAAGCTGCTCCGCTGTGGTTGTTCCAGTATCTTTTCTCCCTTTTATATATTTATATATATATATATATATATATTGTTATTTGTTTTAATACTATTTTGTTTATGTTAATCTTAAATGTAATATATTTTACTGTGTATAAAAAGGAAACAAGAAATTATTACTTTATTGCTCGTTAAAGAGAGATCTAGTATCGTTGCCACCAACCGCTAGTCAGGAGCGGCACGGTCAAACAAAAGTAGTTAGTTAATAGTATTTATAAATAATAATAATTAATTTTTATGGTATTGAATATTAAAATTAGTATATAAAATAATCAAAAGTTAATAGCATGATCAAATTCATACAAAATATAGATTAAACGGTATAAAATTTACAAAAATAATAGTATAATAATGTATAAATAAGTATAGTACAAAATATAATAGTGCTAATAAAATTTTAAAATAGTATAAGAAAATTTAATGATGTCTAACAAATAGATTTCTTTATTTGTTTACTTCAATAACTATAAAAATGGAAATAATTAATAGCATATATTTTGAATTACAGTTTAGCCACTTATTCTGTATAAATCTTATTATTATTTTAAATGTTTTATAAAATATATTTTTTTGTATTTTTTTTTTATGTGTGGTATATTTTTGGAGATGTTACTGGAAATGCACTTTTAGTTAACAAAGTAATTAAAATAATTTAGAGGCTTTTTATTTTATTTCCCTGTGATATTTTCAACATAAAACTTCACTCTTAATGCTATAACACTTTCTTAGAACTAAGATAACATAATATTACTTTATTTTTCAGTTTGAAAACTCTATTCTATACTTGTCAACAGTGGTGAATTGAAAACAGCAACATTTTCACAAAAGTCAATTTTTTTAATTTAACTTTTAAAATTGTTCCGAAAATACTGCCTCTTTTAAATATATAAAATAATTATTACTAGGAAACAAATTATTATCCAGCTCGACACCAACTATAACAATATATAGTACAAGTTTTTTCAAAATCAACAGCAATTAAAAATGTCTGCAAAATCTTAACATATTACTTGTGAAAGAATAAAGCCCCTGTTTTTCTTTATGTAAATTTATTTCATAATTAATTATAATAACTAAACAATAAAAACATAATTTACAAAAAAATTTAACACTACTATCAAATGAGCTAAATGATTCTTATCCCAAAAATGTATATATGAAGAGTGAATGTGTCAAACGTTCTATGTGCCAAAAAATTGAAAAATTGTTTTATTTCTGATTTATGTTCTATGAGCCAAAGGTCACAATCTTGTATGTGTTTCAAGTGTCAATTAAATTTTTTTACTTGTACAAAATTGCGTTCATAGATTGTATTTGTTCGGTGAGACATGCCCTTTGTTACCTGTACGTTCTAAGTGCCTTGGGCGAATATAATAGTTTGACGATTACAATATTATAATATAGTCTGTTATATTTCAAAATAACTAATACTGGTGTTGTTGTATTCGTTAAGTTTTCTTTTTCATTTGTTTAATTGTGTTATTATGGATACTGAAAGTATACATATTTTACGAAGTGGTAAAAAAAGAAGAAATGATCAGACTAAAAAAAGAATTAGTGGAAAATCGTATGGGACCAGGAAAAGCAATAATACAATTCAGGAAAGCGTCAACTTAGTTGTTATAACTTTGGAATACATCTCGGTGACAGCAATACAGCCTTTATGTATATGTGGGATGAAAGTATTGTTTCTCATGGAAGCTCAGAAATCGCTTCTTGTCTTTTTCAAGTTATTAACAAAAACGAAAATACGATAAATCGCAAAAAACTATTTATATGGTAAGACAACTGTGCTGGCCAAAATAAAAATAAAACGTTAGTAGTTTTGATGTTATATTTAATAAATATGGGGATATTTGATGAGATTATACAAAAATTTTTGATAAGTGGCCACTCTCTCTTGGCTTGTGATCATGATTTCGCTATTATAAAAAATCAATATTTAACCAAAAAAAAAAGGGAAGCACACTTAATAAATCACACTGTCTTTAATGTATATTCATATAATATATTATTTATAACATAATTAAATAGTCACGTGATTATTTTCACTTGTACATTTGTGATAAAATATTATATTGGATACTTAAGTTTTCAATAAATACAATCTTTTTAAATAATCTTTCAAATGTATTTCTCGGTTCATTATTTCATACTGTATGTATTATTTTGTTAAGTGCACTATTGTATTTTTTTCGCCAGAAAATAAATATTCTATGGTATCAGTTAAATGTATTATTTACTGAGGCAAAATTCATTTTTGTAAGTGACCAAAAAAAGAAAATGTCAATAACATGATTAAATATTTTATTGAGCCAGATAATGATTTAACATACCCCCTCACAGTAGTATCTCAGTATTTCGGTGATTATATATAAATAATTTAAATTAATTTATACTTGTACTTTGTTTAAGATGATTATTCCGAAGCTTCTATGAAAGAAGAAGAAATATTTATATCTTTAGATTCTACACCAACCAATAAAAAAAGGATCATACAGAATGTAGCAATTGATGATAGGACTAATGGAATGGAAAATTTACTACCAAACTCTATAGGATAGTTTTATTTCTTAAACTTTCTTGTACTTGAGCAATATGCCAAGATTTTCTCAAGAGGTTTTGAATGCATAAAAAAATATTAATATTTTAGTAGTATTGATATTACTAACATACTAACAGGATAATATATTAGTGTTTTTTTAGATCCTGAAAATGTTCCAATCAAAATCTGTAAAGCTTCAATTACCAATATAATATTAAATTAAACATTTAAACATTTTATAATTTTTGAATAAGTACTCTGTTAATAATATTTTTAAAACCATTTATTTAAGATGCTATAAATAAATACAGGATAAATTAATATATTAATAAACCCTGTTAATTATTATCATCATTTTTTGCTAAAACAAATAATATATTCTTATTTTAATTTAAAAATAACATACTACACAATCTTTAGTAAGAAATTTTTATATTACTAGATAAGATATTATTAAAAGTTAAAAATCTATTTTGAAAATATTTTCATATTCTATGTTAATTAGTTAGAATTTAAAATTTGTTATAATTCTTAAAATATTTTTTGAAATAAGGACTTAGTTAAGTTAAAATTATTTTGGATTTAGTCCTCACTCATTTGGGTTAATACTTTTTTTTTTACTAAAACTACTAGAAAACATGACATAATGTATCTTTTTTTCGTTTTGTTATAATCATCAAGAAAGATAAACAACACCATAGTTGTATATCTAGCTTGATGATAATGTCAAAAATGATTTTATTCTATTTGGAATCTCATAATTATATTGTAACATTATTTATTGAATCTTTATGATCTCATCAATTAAAAAAAAGTCGATTTATTTTAAATGTATTTCACATATTATTCAAACAAAATGTAAGATTTATACGGAAATAAAACTTCCTGCTTATTACATTAGACCTAAAAAATGTATTTTTTTTTTAATAAATTATTAAAAAAGTTCGAGTTGCTCCATTTTTTTTGAGACCTCAGAAAAAAACTATTTTTTGTTCGAAATTTTTCCATCTTTTTCCGAAATTTTTAGGAATTTTGACCTCTACTACCGAGTTACACAAATTTACGACTAGCAAGCACTAAAAAATATTTTTCTTCAAAAAAAATTTGAGAAACTTATTTTTTAACTAACTAAAGATATTAAGGGGTCTGCTCACGACTTGTTATTTAGCCCAAAAACATGCTTTACGGGAAAAACTCTCACGCCTTGCCAAGTGGCCAATAGTTTAATAAAAAAAAGCCAAAAATTGCCTATATTTTGTCCCTTAATAAATAGGCACGAGGAGGTCTTTAAGCCAAGATGCTGTTGAAAAATGAAACATCGATAATATTTTGGGTCATCTTAATATTCATACACTGAAATCGTTATATAATAATTTTTTATTAATATATCAAAAATAATATATCTAAATAGGAGAAAAAAATAAATGTGAATGTAAAATGTTAAACATATTTTAGACTACAGAGATTGAGCTTTAAGTACTCTATTTGATTTGAACGCCTTACATTGGGATAATAGAAGACGTATTTAATAATTGTTTTTCCGAATATTCAATTAATTGATTTTCATTTACCATGGTTTCAAAAGTACTATGTAGAGGAGGCTCACTAAAAAATTATAAAATTGTTCATTTATAAAAAACTGAATTAACGCAGAAGAGATAACATATGCTTAAAGCATTTCTTTTGATTTGTACGCCTTACCTTGGTGTAATAGAAGACGTATTTATTAATACTGTTTAACAATAAAATAAATTCATACTATGTACAAACATTAGATCAGATTTCTGATTTAACTTAGGACTACTGGTCAATATATCTACCTTGAATTAGGTGATAATGATAACATGAGCCATGAGGGTATTGATAATAATTTTTTCTTAGTTTATGATGTTCAGGTTAAGGGTTAGTTTATAAGTAGTGTGAACTACAACCGAACTATGTACTGCTATACTAATAGTGATAAAATGAATAGTTCATTGCCAAACAATGTCAGCATGATCAATAAAATTAGTGAACTTAAGAATAGTTCATTTGAACTATTCACTTGAATGAACTATGAACTAATGAACTATTCACAGAAATGAACTAAACTTTCCATCTCTAATTAAATAATAATTTTGTGAAAAAAGAGACAAATTATGGTGTTTTAACTTTCTTAGTATTCCAATAATAATCGACTATCAACGGTCGACGACATCCACAAAACCAGTTTAAGGGAGAAAATATCAATACTTTGTTAAAATTAGATAAAAACACGAATCAAATAAATTTCTGCCTACTTTATTTGTAGTGCTGTTGATTATAAATATTACTATGTATAATCAATACTATTATCTAACTACTAACTGTAGTCTATGTTGTAATACAGCTTTGATATATCTTCTTTTACATTTATATCTTTGTAGACGTTTTAAGTTGGAAAATAATGAAGTAATATTTTTTTTAGAAAAAGATATTTTTGTTTCATAAAAATAAATTGTTCTGTTTGAAAAAATTTCAAATTAAATAAAAATAATTAATTTTTAAAAATTGTATACCAATTAAGATTTTTGCCGCCCTTCAAAATTTGCCGCCCGGGGAAAATGCCCCCAATGTTCCCCCCCTAAATGCAGCCTGACATTAACCCTTAAACAGTCGCGTGGGGGTCTAGCATACCCCCACATAAATAAAAACGGATGTATTATATTGCATAAAAGGTGTACATAGATATAAATTTAGAAGATGGTTTTTAGAGTAGTATTGAATCGATTTTCATAAATAAATACCATCGAAAAAAAAATGTATAACTTACAATATTCATCAAAATTGAAATGGGTCATATTTACCCCCACGCGACTTGTAACGTTACAATTTTTTTTTGGACTTGTATTTTTTCAAAATATCGATTTATCGTAAATGCAATGTTATAATCGATATAATATTGTGGAATTGGGATTATGTGAATCTGCCACTGACTGTGCAATTAAGTTTTAAAAATAAATAATCTATTGAGAATTTCCACTACTCGATGATACGGAACAAATACGAACAAAACATGTAATAAATACATCCCGTCGCAATGTGGACACATTGATTATCGATGCCTCATTTACAATTACCACTATTCACAATTACTCCTCCTAACCCTTCTCGTATTATAATAATTAAATTGTATAGTAATATTAATAATAAAAAAATCCAGTTCAGAAAAATGATTATGTAAATGTAAATACACATAAAACTAATAAATATAATCCGTGTTTGAGCTCAAAGAAATATAAGAAAAATTAATAAAATACATTTTGAAATAGTAAAAGCTTTTATTTACCGTGTTAAAATTAAGGTTATGCAGTTAAAATAAATTTTTTACAAACCAAATATTTTTAATGAAATTTTAAAAATTAANTAAGGTTATGCAGTTAAAATAAATTTTTTACAAACCAAATATTTTTAATGAAATTTTAAAAATTAAGTTTTTTTTTTTTGTAGTATAATTTTTAGTAATGCACATAATTTTGTAATTTATTTATTTTTTAATTTTAATTTTTTAATTTTTATCCATATTCATATATCATATGGTAACAAATAACGTCTTTGAATTAAAAAAAATGAGCTTTTTTATACATATTTATACGTTTTTAGAAATGGGGTCTAATAGACCCCCACGCGACTATGAACGTTAAAAATAGGTACGCGCCTGCTTAAGGGTTAATAATAATTTATACGTAAGGCAACATTAAGTAAATATGTTCTATGTATAGGATATTTATCGTTATAAAACTAAATTAAATAAAAATAATTTTTAATTATGTCATTTTATCTAGTGTTTTTTACTTTTATGCAAAAAAAGATGTACATTTACACGTAAAATCTATCTTAAATATAACATTAAATATACATTTAAAATAAATTATAGTGTCCAGAGTAATCATGGTAAAAAATATTGATAACTATTTATTAAGTTATATTTTAAAATAATGTATTTCTATTTTTTGTAATACGATTTAAAACGCTGATTAAACAAATCAAGCCAAATCCAACCATTTACGAAAATTTGAAGCTCTTATATTTTAATATAATAAATTTATATTTATTTCAAAAATAAAGACATAAATTAAATGTGTAATGTTTAGTTAGACTGTATAAAATGTCAATTGAGTATTTAGATATGTTTTTAAGCGAGTATTGTAAATCAAAAAACACTTTATTTTTAAAATTATTATACGAATAATTTTCATTTTGTACTATAAAAATTTTGTAACTTAATTACCTTAAGGATACCCGTATTATTTTTGTCCCTATAATGGTTACTTAATACATCAAACGTGTTAATCATTATGTAATATGGTTTAAAAAATAATTACAAGAACCCAATTAGAATCCTCTTTACAATTATAAAAAATTATAATTATAAACTAAAATGTAATAAACTAGAATTCATTTATTGTGTAGTTTTTGTAATTCATTGAATTATTTTTTAAATTAAAAGTTTAAAGCATTAAAAGTAAATAGCATTTTTTTCACACTTCATACATAAATATAATAATAATATGATTTATGTTTTTTTGTCTTGAAAATATGAAAATATGCCATTACGGTACATTTCTATATAATTTTTGCTTATTTGTAATATTTTATTTATTTTAATACCTATAAAAATGCAATGATTTAATGAAAATTTAATAAAATATATTCAAAGTTATAAATCGGTCAATTATAAAAAAAATAATTATACACAACTCAGTATTCTTGAAAATGTTTTCCAAAATATATTCTTTTGTATTAATTATTAAGTGTGGTTTTTTTTTTGGAGATGTTTTTGGAAATATTTTTTTAATTGACACGGTAATTTAAACAGATTATTAAATGATAATTAATTTAATAATTTAGTGTAGATACTTTTTATTTGATTTTTATATGACAGTTTTAGTATAAATCATCAGTTAAAATTTAACACTTTCATAGAACTAAAAGTCATGATATAATTTTATTTTTTGTAAACATCTTAAATCATTATTTTTTTAATAAATATAATTTTTTAACTGTGATTATAAATATAAAATCTTTGTATAAAATTTTCGAATAAAGTATTTCTTATTCATATAGAATGGAAAAATGATTAAACATCCAACAATCATCAAAGATAGTATTGTAAGTATAATCACAATTAAATAAAACATCAATTTTATGAATTACCACTTTTGATATCAAAAAAAAAATACTATTAACATTTATTGATTATATTATAGCATACCTATGCTAAGGGGATTTTAGAACCACGTTGGTTCAGCTCTCCAGAAGTATGTTTTATTGTTTTTTATTACGACG